GAGAAATTACTTTTCTAAATCTGCAGCAGGGAAAGTACAAAGTGAGCCCTAAACACTATTTTTGTGACCAAAACCAAACCAACCCAATCAAAGAAGACTAATCATGACATCTCTAAAGAACACAGAAACCATCTTGAAAGGGCTCCCCCTACCAAATTTGGGACAAAAGATATGATGGTTCTAATAGACTGCACCACATTAAATTAAAAAAAAAAAATCTTTGAGTTTGTATTAATATCACACAAATTGGGAAGGAGAAAAAGAGAAGGTAAAGCTCTTCTTATACATCTAGATATAAATAAGCAAATAAGTAGTAGACATATCTGCATATATTTGCATATGTGTATTCACATACAAACACACACATAAATATCTAAGTAGAGAAAGTCAGTCAGTGACTCTGGGGCAAGAGTATATTATAATCCTTATATTATTCTTTTAGCTTTTTAATAGATATGACTATTTCAAAATAAAAAGCTAGAGGAGAAAGTAAAAACTTAAAACTCTTAGAATAGAATATAGAATTATAGGGTCACAGAGGACAATTTAGGGGTCCTAATAAAGGGTCACAAATTTAACAAATCATATTACATTAAAACAAAGAACTTCTATTTATCAAAAATTATGCTTTAGAAAAAGTGATACTACAGAATACAAATTAGGAGAAGATATTTGAAACACTTATAACTGAAAAATAAAAACTCTCCCCAATACATAAAGAACTTATAGGCATCAAAGGGAAGAAAAAAACCCAGCAATTAATTAATTAAATAAAACATAATAGGCTGATGCTTGGGCCTTTTCCTCATTGGAATATATTTTGGCTTTCAAGTAACAGAGAAGTGCTTACAAAGTATGGAGTTAAATGTCAACTCAGAGAAAACCCTTTGAGTTTGAAGTTTCTTGATTTTTATGCCCCATTTGTTGTATGGATGAAGAATTTATATTACTAATTTCTACATTCAAACCAGCTGCATCTTTTAAATCCATTAATTTCCAGTAATTTGAACTAAGTATCCTGATCAGGTATTAGGTATCAGTGAAACAGGTATTTTCTGATAAAACATACCTACATAAAAACTCCCCTACTCTTTTCAAGAGTAAATTCCAATGACATTTTATAAAGATATCTGGAGGACAGCAAGACCTCAGGTATCCAGAGAAGGGGAGAGTATGTTACAAACCCACTGTTAAGCTCTTTTCTTCTGATCCAGAATCACAGGGAAAGTCCTAATAACATATATCAAACACCTTTGAGAAAAACTGAAGTCTCATATAGCAAGGAAGGTAAAAGATTTCAAATCCTTAAGAACCATACCATATCAACCAAAACCACTGTCCAATCATTTAAAATGTAAAAACCATTCTTAGCTTACAGTTTGTACAGAAACAAGCAATAGGCCCAATTTGGTCAGAGTTTGCCAGCCACTATTCTACACGTTAGGAAAAAAATTATTTTCCTTGTAGGAAATGAGTTTGGGAATTTGGGACATGATCAAGGAAAAAGATAAGACCATGACATAGCTGTAGCATACATAAATTTTGAGGTACAGTGAAAGGTTGGAATGCAGAGGACGTCCCTCATAGCAGGAGAGCAAGAGCCTCAGAGGCTCTGGCTTGAGACCACCATTCAGAAGGGGAAGAGGACAAGGAAACTCCTATGAGAGAGACAGGGTAGGATGAAAGGAGGGAGAGAGAGAGAGAGAAAGAGGCTGTAAGGGGAGTTATCTGTCTAGGTAATGCCACTGAGCCACACAGTGAGAAATCTCTGGGTCAGAAAGCTCCAAAGGGCTATTGCCTCTTTTTGGTTTTGTTTGCTTGATTGGTTGGTTTGGTTTTCGGGGTAGGGTTTTGTTTTTGTTTTTTTGTTTTGTTTTGTTTTGTTTGTGTTTTTTTTTTTGTTTTGTTTTTAATTAATAGACCCTTGATTTCATCTGTGGCTATCAAATGTTGGGTTCTATTTCCTGGGGTATGCAAAGCAGCAGGCAGGTCTAAATGGCTAAAAAATCTGCTTTTTGAGGCCATATTTAAAACAGTGGGATTCATAAAAGCTTGAGTTTGGCTCCAGCAGACTTTAAGAGCTAATGAATTTCTGCTTGCTTTGAAGAAATAAGCAACACAGAGGCAATATAGAAGCCACTATTGACTCACTTATATAACATTCTTCTAACATCAAGATGTGAAAAGAAAAGAGGGAGATTTCTCACATGTTATAATTTACTAACATACAAAAATGTATTCCATCCGCCTTTGTGTTAGTGGTACCTCTTACCAGGCCCATCTCAACTATGGGCAGGACTTGGGGAAAGTTTACAAATGGAGTCTTCCACCCTGTCATCGGTGCCCCTTCTCTTTCCACCTCAGCCTCTCATCACTCTCTCATTTCCAACCTCTCTTCACTCTGTTTGCATGTATGGAGACTGTGGAGACCCGACAACATACCAAGCTTCTCCACGGTAACTACTCCTCCGCACAGCCATAACTTGGCCACTCCTCAGGGCTAAAGAAAGACACATCATTGTCCTGTCAGCCCTGAGTAGGACAAAGTTGATTCTCTGAGCCTGGAAGGGGGCTCAGGGTTATTTAGATAGGAAACTCAGGCTTTGTGGGTATCCAAATTATGGATTCAAAGGGGGAGGCACATTTCCTTGGCCCCACAGACTCTTCATTCCTTGGTGAACTAGGAAAGAGGCCCCTTCTGTGTCCAGGGACGTGATCTCTCTTAGAGCACTTGCCATACAGAGAACTCAGTAGAAAAGTACTAAGTGAACGACTATGTTGGTGATCGAGGGAATGAAGAAATAGATGAACAAGAGAGCATGGAGATAAACAGTTGAAAGTGGTGATCCCGATTCCATAAAGCATCATAAAAAAAATACAGTTTATAAATTAATTAGCATGGGGTCCCATAGGGAGATGCTGGTACATGGCTTTCTTTCCACAGCAGTAATAGTGCCGGCCATTCTCTGGTGATGAAGTCACATTAGATCATTCAATCATCCATCATTCCATGATGTGTAAATCACAAGTTCCAGAGTGCTAAATTAAGAAACTGATCCCTCTACCCTGCATTTTCTAATAGATATAGATCACAATTTCTTTGTGTACATCATAGTCTTCCAGCATCATGTATATGTTTAGAGGTTATTGTTACTCAATAACTCTATCTTCATCATATAGGACGAAAGCATCAGAGCTCTTGAAAGATGAAACCTAGTGATCAGTGTCAACACCATTGATTTTTCACTTTGCAAAACTTGTTCATGGGAGGGAGTGAAACTTTTTTTTTTCTTTTTAAAAAAATTTTATTAACATATAATGTATTGTTTTAGGGGTACAAGTCTGTGATCCATCAGTCTTACAAAACTCAGGCACTCACCATAGCACATACCCTCCCAGTGTCCATCACCCCACTACCACATCCCTCCCAATCCTCTCCCCTCCAGCAACCCTCAGTTTGTTTCCTGATATTAAGAGTCGCTTATGGTTTTTCTGCCTCTCTGGTTTCCTCTTGTTTCATTTTTCCCTCCCTTCCCTTATGATCCTCTGTCTTGTTTCTTAAATTCCTCATATCAGTGAGATCATATGATAATTGCCTTTCTCTTATTGACTTATTTCTGTTAGCATACCCTCTAGTTCCATCCACGTCATTGCAAATGGCAAGATTTTGAGGGTTTTGATGGCTGAATAGTATTCCATTATATATATATACCACATCTTTATCCATTCATCTGTGGATGGACATCTAGGCTCTTTCCATAGCTTAGCTATTATGGACATTGATGCTATAAACATTTGAATGCACATGCCCCTTTGGATCACTACAATTGTATCTTTAGGATAAATACCCAGTAGTGTGATGCTGGTCATAGGGTAGCTCTATTTTCAACTTTTTGAGGAACCTCCATAGTGTTCTCCAGAGTGGCTGCACCAGCTTGCATTTCCAACAGTGTAGGAAGGTTCCCCTTTCTCTGCACCCTTGCCAACATCTGTCATTTCCTGACTTGTTAATTTTAGCCATTCTGACTGGTGTGAGGTGGTATCTCATCGTGGCTTTGATTTGTATTTCCTTGATGCCAAGTGATGTGGAGCACTTTTTCATGTGTCTGTTGGCCATCTGGATGTCCTCTTTGCAGAAATGACTGTTCATGTCCTCTGCCCATTTTTAAAATTTTTTTTTATTAACATATAATGTATTATTAGCCCCAGGGGTACAGGTCTGTGAATCGCCAGGTTTACACACTTCACAACAGGGAGTGAAACATTTCACCAGGGAAGAAGCTGGACATTCTTGACTTGGGAAAATGCTTCTACTAAAATAACAGCTTGTGGTCTGAAAGTGCTTTGGGAAAAGCAGCCTACAGTTTACTTTTATTTATTTACTTATTTATCTTATTTTTTAAAAGATTGTATTCATTTATTTGAGAGACACAGAGAGAGAGCACAAGCTGGGGAAGTGGTAGAGGGAGAGGGAGAAGCAGACTCCCCTCAGAGCAGGGAGCCTAATGCGGGACTTGATCCCAGGACCCCAGGATCATGACTTGAGCCGAAAGCAGACGCTTAACCAACCAAGCTACTTAGGCACACCCACAGTTTACTTTTTTTTTTTTTTTAAGATTTTATTTACTTATTTGACAGAGAGAGAAATCACAAGTAGGCAGAGAGGGGGGAATCAGGCTCCCTGCTGAGCAGAGAGCCCGATGCGGGACTCGATCCCAGGACACTGAGATCATGACTTGAGCCTAAGACAGAGGTTTAACCCACTGAGCCACCCAGGTGGCCCCACAGTTTACTTTTTGACAACCATTCGATAGCAAATAAAAACTTGAGAGGACTTAGGTACACAGAGAATTACCTTATGAGTCTTTAAATTGGAGTTTAAAAATTTCCAAGGAAGTAGCATTTTACAAATAGGTTGAACATCTGTCTCGTACTGACTACTCAATAGGCAACTTAAACTTTAGTGAACTGTATGGCTGATGTATTAATGGAAGACACACCAGGAAGAGTAGGACCAGAGGAAGATACACAAGATTCTGTAATGAAAGAGAAAGCAGAAAGACGTCATGAGCAGAGCAATGGGTCTTGGTGACAAGGAAGAAACCCAAAACACAAAACTGAAAGCATTTTTTCTGTGCTAATACTATACTAGGAACTAAGTGCATCATCTAATCCTACATCAGTTCTATAAGAAATGGATGGTAAACTCATTTTAAAACTGAGGAGATTGATACTCAATAAGATTATATAATTTGTTCATAATTTTCCAAACAACGCTGACTCAAAATCTTTATATTTTCAATGGTGCCAAGGGAGGAAACTGGTATATTAAACAGGGGCACATCTGGTTTTGTGTTGTGTTATGCTGTTTTCTTGTTATTGAGCTGTAGTGCTAGGGCTGCCATGATTCAGAACTCCAGCTAGTGACTCCCGGAGCCTGCGAATCCCCCAGACTTTGTTCCCCACGTTTTGTGACAATGGTTGTATGCCCATGAGTTTCTCATGCTCATTGTCTCCCACTTCTTTTTTTTATTTATTTTTTAATTTTTTTTAAAGATTTTATTTATTTATTTGACAGAGAGATCACAAGTAGGCAGAGAGGCAGGCAGAGAGACAGACAGAGGGAAGCAGGCTCCCTGCTGAGCAGAGAGCCCGATGCGGGACTCCATCCCAGGACCCTGAGATCATGACCTGAGCCGAAGGCAGCGGCTTAACCCACTGAGCCACCCAGGCGCCCTGTCTCCCACTTCTTTATATTTTTCTTCTCTTCCTATGCCAGTTTTCTACATTTTCATATAATAATGACAATAATCAGTCTTAAATATGTATCCTACTAGCAACCTCCAAAGTACGTTAATACATATGGCCTTTGATCCATGTGCATAGGACAACCATTTTATTCCCATTTTGCAAAGGGAGAAAATGAAACTCAGAAAGATTAAGCAACTTGCCTAAAGCCACCCAAGTAAGAAGTGGCAGAACCAGGACTGATTCCCCCCCCACTTTTTTAAAATTCCTATTCTATACCACTGCCCTTTCTTGTACCTCAGGCTCACATCAGGGCTTTCGGAGTTCCTTAATCCCACAGAATACATTTAAGACCAAAACATCCTGAAGCATCTGAAGCCAACTTCATATAGCTGGTAGGGTTAAAAGCAAAAGAAACAACAACATCAATAAAATCATCCCCTTTTTAGCTGTGCATAATAGCCAAATGGAAATCTGAATTTTGTTGAGCAAATATGAAGAGAACTCTTGACCGGGGCCATTTTAAACTCTGTCCATCTCACATTGGGTCACTTTGGTAAGCAGAAATTTACTGAGGGGGGAAAAATTCTGTTTAAAGAGAATTTTGTTTTGAAAGCATTTACAATAATTTGGTAAACTGTTTAGTGTGGATATTACATTATGACCCAACAGGAATCTCTGAGCATATTTCTTTCCTAACATATGATAGAAGCCAATCGTTGAGCACCCTCTTAGGTTCAAAGTGGCTTGTAAAACTGAATGTTAATAATGAAGTTATAAATTCAGCATTCCAAACCCTAACAAAAGCCAGCCACAGTAATTACAGAACAGAACTAAATTATATATATATTTTCAAATTATATACATATATAATTAACATAGAATAATTAATAACATATATAATATAATAAAGAGTCTGAAGAGTTACCAAAATGACATGGAAGCTGGGAATAGAAAGATGACCTATGAAGGATGACAGGACACATGTTCCAAGCAGAGGAAAAAATTAAAAATCAAACAAAACCAAAAAACCACTTAAACCTCCCTCAAACGTACAGCTTTCAACATCCCCACTATGAAATTCTGTTCTGCTCTGATTCCCTTAGGCGATGCCTGCTTTGAAGGTCTTACTGGCTTGTTAAATTGCAATGAAGGCAAATGGGTTCCCCTTTTCACATTGACAGGTTACCACCAGCCCCATACCACTATGTTAACAAGCACTACCAACCTCTGTGCTGCTCTACTGCTCCAAACCTCTCCGGGTGCCACACTGTGTTGGGGGCAGAGATAAGTCTAGCGAGAAAGTCATCACACTGAAATCATGATGTTGTCAGGATCATCTCGCTGTACTCTGGCAAACACTACATTAAGCTGCTGATAGCAACGTAAAACTCAGCAGGGTTGAATGATCACCTACATTCTGATTTTCCTCTGGCTCTATGAAAATAGCACATGTGATGCTTTGTACACGAGTCTCTTTTTCATATGTAAATACCAGGAGAGAGAGAATCCAATAAATAAACCTTAAAATATTTGAATTACTTGGACTGTAAAGCTAGACAAGTTTACACTTTGAAGCAGCATGAATTTATATCCTGATACTATTTGTTTCAACAGATAATATTGCTACTGAGTTTTCATATCAATAATATAGCACAGAAGAGTGCAGTGTCATATATAAGCACATAATTGTCTATTTAAAGAAGTATGCATTTGCATTTACTAATACCTTGTATGCCATATGCTAGATTTTTTTAAAGAAAGACTATAAATAGCAAAGGCTCTTATTTTTTTCAATAATTCTTGAAAATAATATTTCTAGGCTGATAAATTTTATCAACACCAAACAATACAGCAGGAAACTTACACACAATCTAATGCTTGTGTTTCTAAAAGACACTGTTCAATTTATGACATGTTCCATATGAAGGCCAGGATACACATAGCCTCCTAAAACAGTCTCTGAGATTTAAAGCCCAGACTATTTCTTATGGACTTGGTTTGACTGCCATTTATAATTTCCATTTATTGCTTCCTTAATTGCCTGGGCATGACCTTATATTTTGTAACCTTTTCCTTTTCCTCTTTAGGGCTTTAAATGATTTGCACATATCATCTTTAATTGACACCTCAGTGTGACATCAGCAAAATAGAGAGGATGGATAGCACAATCCACAAAACATTATCCTTGCAACTACATTTCTAATACTTTGAAAAACAAATTAGCAGAACACACTTGCTTTTAAGCTTTTCTTGGCAATCTTTTCTAGAAGGCTGATTCTAGTACTCAAATTCAAGTATTCAAATCTTGTGCACCAAAACAATAAACAAAGACTTTTAACTTCAACCCAAAACTCAGCAAATGAGGTTTACATAGGGAATACTTTTCTTCAAGTAAGTTGATAGTAAAGTTTTGAGACTAAGAGGTGAGAGTAGAGTTGAGAAAGTATAATCCTTCTTTAGTTGGGGTTAATGGGATGGAAGGCAGATATTATCATCATATACTTCTAGAACTCCTAGGAAACTTAGAGACCACAAGATCAGTCCTCTCAGTACTGAGGACCCTGAAGCCTGATAGCTTTCCTAGCATCAGAGAGTTTCTAATAGTAGTTGGGACCACTCAGGCATTCCAACTGCAGGTCTTATGTGTTTTCTACTACATCAAGCTCTTTTCTTTCAGAACCTGATCTAAAATAATCAAAGCAGATGTAAAAAATATATTAACAAACATATAGATCAATGGGGGGAAATGGCACTATATGAGAGAGGAGTACTGAATGATTAAGATGTTTTATTGTATGAAAATGAGGAAGAAGAGGAGGCAATTCCAGTGATAAGCAGTAACAGATATTAAAGACAACTTATATCACTTAGGTCCCTCATCCTTTATTTTCTATTCATCTGATACTTAAATCCCCTCTATAAATCCTATTGATATCATTCTATTATATAATTAATATGTAGTCATCCAAATCATACTTTTGTTTGTTTGCTGTTTCAGAGGCATGCATTTCATCTGACTTAACCCAAACCAATTTCCTTTCAAGTTCTTTCTTTGAAGAAAAAATACTTCTAGATTAGAGAGTGAAATGATGATAACCACTCGATGTTTAGATTAATTTACTCTTTTTATAATGGAAAAAAATGTATCTGAATCCAATATAAGCACAAAGAATTTGCTATCCTTTATGATGAAACATGCAAAGCCAAAAAGTGAATTAAAATTATCTTTTTCAACTTTTCCACTGTTAAGTATGGCAATTGTATTAGGTACTTTATCAGTTTCCATGATAGCCTTGAAATATATGATTATATATATATTTATATATATAATCAAATTATTTAAGAAGTTAATAGCATCAGTAGAAAGCTGGGGCTATAGCTAAGGTTCTTTCCTTGCATTACAATGTCATGTACCTTTAATAGCTTTGAACCAAATAATAATTTTTTCAATGAATAAAAAAAAATTCAAGAGTCTTATTTACCTTCTAGTAAAGCAGTCACTTATCTTGAACTGTTCAATGGTAAAACAAGATATTCTATAGAAAGTACAGATGGATGAATGATAAGTACTAGCGTGAATGAAAAACATCTCAAGGCAAAAATGCAAAAGCCATACATAATAGGAAAGGATGTTTATGGAACACAATCAATGACCTTGTCTTGAATTCTGTGTCTGAAAGAGAAATGTTCTTAGTAGAGGCTTCAACTAGAGATCATATTTTGTCTACCATCACTGCTAAACTTTCCATGGATGAGGAGTCAGATTTAAATTTGAGTAAGTCAGATTTTACCCTTTAGTTAATTCTGATCCATACAGTATCATAAATGCAAAGCCTTCAAGTACTTTCTAAGAATACTCTTTGAACTATTTTTAAATTTTAACTTATTATCCCAAATTTATTGTTTTCTGTGTCTCAGCATGACCACACGCATGTAGATCAGAGATGCCCTTTCCATGTATATGCATGTATGTATGTATATGCAATCACACATAACACATATCATTAATTTACTGAGTAACGTACTACAATGGTTCTTGGCTTTAAAGAATAGCAAAATAACCCAGCATACCTCAAAAAAGAAAGAAAGAAAGAAAAAAAGAAAGAAAGCTAAACAGCAATCTCCACCTTGCAAAATAAAAAAAAAAATAAAATAAAATACGCAATGGAATGTGTATTTGGAAAAACAAAGACAATTTAGGAGTATTTTTTATATCTCAAAACTACAGGTAGAGCAAAAATCATGATTAACTCCTTTAGCCTACTGGAGCCAGTTCAGCTTACGTGAGACAATTGTTAAATTCTCAGAAATTTGGGGAGCTGGTTATTAAATATAACCATTATTAAAAAATAATTGAAGCTTACAATTGAATAAGATATTAAAAACAAAGGTGACAGAAACTAAAAATTCATAATTTCCTAATTATTTTGCTACATTTTACTATTATCAATGTACTTGAGGTGGTTTAAGTCTATTACTATACCAGTCCTGGGGAAACACTACAGAATCATGTAACACTGAACATCTCTTTCCGACACCACTTTCACTGCTTTTAGTTGGTGCCTTAAAATCGACCATGGTGGGGGAGCGCCTGGGTGGCTCAGTGGGTTGGGCCTCTGCCTTCGGCTCTGGTCATGATCTCAGGGTCCTGGGATCGAGCGAGCCCTGCGTCTGGCTCTCTGCTCAGCGGGGGCCTGCTTCTCCCTTCTCTCTGCCTGCCTCTCTGTCTACTTGTGAACTCTCTCTCTCTGTCAAGTAAATAAATAAAAATTTAAAAAAAAATTGACCATGGTGGGGATACTCACAGCACAGAAATCAACTAAAGCTGCAATGCAAGGTGTTTTATCCCCCTTCATCCCAAAGGCAGCTGCTGCTAAATATTTAAAAGCACACCGCTGATATCCTGAACAGGAATGAATGCAGCTTTGTGGTTCACAACACAACCTCTGAATCTGACCTTGTCCCTTAATATCTGTGTGCTCTTGCAAAATTTTCTTAAATAAGTAGTGACCTAGTCTCTTCGTCTGTAAAATGGTTTATAAATCTTTTTAAGCACTTAACACTGTGTCTGGATTGGAACTTTAAGTGATCAGTAAATGCTAACTGTAATCACTATCAACCACAAGATGTAGCAATGAACTACAGAATGGGCCAGTGGATTTAGTCTTACGTTCAAGAGAACTGGTAAAATAGACAAATTAGGTTTTTTCATAATTTACTTAGTTCTTTATATAGAATTGTATGCCTTGGGAGCCAGAGTATAGGGAAAAATCAGTTGCATTCTCTGAAAAACCTACAAAGAATAGGATTTTTATGCTTGTATAAAAACATATATGCTTTCCTAATACTTAATTTTTTTATTTATAGGGTTTTTTTAACTT